GTTTCCCATTGAAGTGAGTCTCTCCAAGGGGCAGAAGCTGGGTTTGGGGCAGGAATGCCCAAGGACCTGTCAAAACATGAGCTCTGCCAGTAGTTCTGAGGATCTTATACATGGATGAGGTCAGTGCTGCCTTAGGACAGGCTTCAGAGGGAAATACTGCCCCAGGGGCTGAGGGACCGCACAGTGACACAGCCCTCTGTGGTGGTCTCAGACTTGCAGCACAGTTGCCTTCTTGGCTGCTTTTCACTCCTGGGCATGAAGAACAGGCATGATTTAAAGCTAAAATCTGTCTGTCTGTCTCCCCAGCCATGAGAATGAGGAAGGGTCATTCCCAGGAGCCTCTGGGGACAAGTGTCTCACTGCATGTGAATCACAGCCCCTGACCAAGCAGTGGCTGGGATTTCTGGTATCCTGGGGCAGCCTGGCCAAGGATCCTACCCCCTGGGAGCCTGGGTAGAAGCTTCCACCAGTGCTCCTTTGGATTAGGCTGATGCTAGCAGAGCCCTTGGGTTTACCCCCTTCCTACCCATGTCCTCCTGGCAGGCTACGAGCTCCTCTTCCAGCCAGAAGTGGTGCGGATATACATCTCCCTCCTGAAGGAAAGCAAGACTCCAGCTATCCTGGAGGCTTCAGCAGGAGCCATCCAGAACCTGTGCGCTGGCAGCTGGACGGTGAGTGCCCACAGAGCTGGCAGTGCGACAGGGAAGGGGCGCAGGGAGCACCACCCGTGGGGGCTGGCAGCGGTGTCCCCAGCCCCGGGTGACACGGTGGCCCTGTGCCTCCCCGCAGTACGGCCGGTACATCCGCTCAGCCCTGCGCCAGGAGAAGGGGCTCTCCGCCATCGCCGACCTCCTGACCCACGACAGCGAGCGCGTGGTGAAAGCGGCATCCGGGGCCCTGCGCAACCTGGCCGTGGACCTGCGCAACAAGGAGCTGATAGGTGAGGGTGGCACGCTCCCTGTATCCATGCAGGCTAGGCAGGAGCTTCCTCCTTCTCCTCTTGGCTGCTGGGGAAATGTGTGGGCACAGCATCTCCCAGAAAGAGGGACAGCAAAAGGAGTCACGTGTCAGTGGTTTTCCCTTCAGCCCTGTTCCCTGCTTGCTCATGCCCAACTCTTTATCCTTCCCAGGCAAACATGCCATCCCCAACCTAGTGAAGAACCTGCCTGGAGGCCAGCAGACCCCTGCCAAAAACCTGTCTGAGGACACAGTGGTGTCAATCCTCAACACCATCAATGAAGTGATCGTGGACAACCTCGAGGCGGCCAAAAAGCTCCGGGAAACGCAGGGGATTGAGAAGCTTGTGCTGATAAACAAATCTGGGTAGGCTCCACTCAAAGGATGATGTTGGGGTGGAGAGGGGCTTCACTTCCTCTGGGTTTCCAAGCATCTCTTCTTTTGCCTCTTTCTAGGAACCGCTCAGAGAGAGAAGTTCGGGCAGCAGCCCTCGTCTTGCAGACAGTCTGGGGCTATAAGGAGCTGCGGAAGCCCCTTGAGAAGGAAGGCTGGAAGAAGTCAGACTTCCAGGTGTGGGGATGCCTCATGGTGGCCAGGGCATTAGGTGGGGTCCTGCAGCAGGGAGAAGGGTGTTTCTGGAGCTTGACAGTACTGGCCTGCAGCTCTTCACCTTGCTGGTGGCACTGGGCACCCACAGAGGTGTCCCTGTGCTGTTTTTCAGCTAATGGCCAGCAGGAAGTCTCTGCTAGGATCACTCTGCAAAGTGTCTGTGTCCCACATGAGCATGAGGCAGGAATTTTGTCACTAAGTGCTGCTGTGACAGTGTTGAGGAATAGGGTTCTTCCAGGCTCAGTTTCCTTCCCAAAAGCAGAGCCTGCCCTTGCTGCTGGAGGCACTGCCCTGGTCCAGGCAGGGCCCCCCCATTCTGATGGGAGTGCAGTGGGGGGCTTCAGCACCTTCTGGTTACTTTGGACCCCTTACTCAAGGGCTGTGGGAGGGTTCCTGGGTTTGTGCTGGTGCCGTAGGGGTGGGATGTGCTGGTGAGGAAGAAACCTCTGGGCCCAGGATTTGAGCGGTCACTGTTGCTATAGGTGAACCTGAGCAATGCCTCTCGGACCCAGGGAGGCAACTCCTTTGATGACAGCACCTTGCCTCTCATCGACAGGAACCAAAAAACAGGTATGTGCTTGCCTTCAGCACCTGTGCCCGCCATCATCCCTCTGCCTTGTGGGTACTCAGCACAGCTGGCATTTGTCCCCTTCCTGCTCTCCAGCTTTGGCTTCCCTAGCAGCCACAGCTGCTCACAGGGCCATTAGCATGGGCCTTGGGTGGCTTTCCTGGCCATCAGAGCCATCAGTTAGGGCTTGGATGGCTTCCTGGGGCTGGCGTTGTAGGTCCTGTGGTGTCCTTGAGTCACAGAGCTGCAGCTGGGCCTGGGATCCCCCAGTCAGGGCAGGGAGCAGTTTCTCTGCAGCTTCTGGCTGCAGGAACTGTCCCTGATGTGCTCTCCCATGCTTGCAGACAAGAAATCCTCCCGGGAGGAGATCCAGATGAGCAACATGGGACCAGGTAGGAGAGGGGACTCCCCCTCCATATGTGGGGAGCAGGGTGGAGTTAACATCTCCTGTGGGAGTGGTGCAGCCCCCCATGGAGGTGGTGACATGACTGACTGACTGTCCCCTCTCCTGCTCCAGACAACTATTCCACACTCAACGAAAGGGACCACAGCAGGACGCTGGACCGATCTGGTGACCTTGGAGACATGGAGCCGGTGAAGGCAGTGCCGTTGATGGTGAGCAGCTCTCTTTAACTCAGGAAGAGTGGGATGGGTGTAGGAAATGCCACATCGCTGTCCTGTCTGGCAGAGGAGGGGAGACCTGGGCTCCCACCTAACTAACACCCCCCATGCCATGGCCCCTACTAACCGCATGTGTCTGCAGCAGGAGGAGGGGCAGGAGTCGCAGCCTGAGGTGGAGGAGGCAGATGAAGATGCTGCTGTGCCCTCCCCCATGTCGGTATGTCCCACGGTGTCCTGCCCAATCTGACAGTGGTGACAGATCCTGCTGTGCTCTTAGGGGTGCTTGGCCAGCCAAATCCTGCTCCAATTACTGCTGCTGCAATCACTGGTGCCGTGATCCTGCCTCCACCCTCACACCCACTCCAGCCTTAACACCTGTCCCTGTCTCTCTCTCTCCACAGCAGAAGATCTAGTTGGCCTCCCTGCCTCTGCTCCGTTTTGAGTTGATAATATATTATATATATAAATATATAACTCTTCATGGTGGAATGGACCGACTTTTACCTTGTCTTATTGTTGGAATTTTGCTGGACTCTCTGTGCCAACCATCCAGCCAAATGCCTGGGCCGGGTCCCCAGGGCAGCCCAGGCCACTCGGTCTCCTCCAGGCCGCTGCACCTCCTTGTTCTGGGACACCACCACTGAGAACTCCTCCTCCCATCCCCCACCACTTCCTTCCTCCTGAGAGTAAAACCTTCCTGCCTGACTCTGCCGGATCAGCCGGCGTGGATGCTGCACAAGGACTTGGATCTCTGCCTTGACCAGGAGCTGCCTTCTCTCCCACACCTTCCCCCTGCTCCAAGGTGTCTTGCAGGGACGGGGACTGGGACTTCACTCACCACCGCCTTGTTTTTGGTTTGGTTTTGTTGCCTGTAGGGTATATTTTTTCATGTGGGATCACTCTTCAACCAGGGCCGTGGGGACAACAGGAGCGTCCCTCCTCCCTGAGGGCTGCAGGACTGGGGTCCAGGAGCCGGAGGCACAAGGGCCAGGGGAAGGAAAACCAGCAATAATGTCTCTTGCTTTGCTCTAGATGAGGCTTTTGGGATCATGGGAAAGGGGGATCCAGCTCCGGATCCTGCAGAGGAGTCTGGATGGGGCCCTGGCACCCACCCAGTGCCTGTATGAGGAGGATCCTTCTGTGAGGAAGGGGGTCCCTGTAGGGGGAGGAGATGCAGCAGGGTTTTGGGGAGAGCGGGCGGCTCGGGGCGCACTGGGCCGGGCACCTGGAGCCGGGATCCCACGGCGCTGCTGCGCTGACCTTTTCTTGACACGTGCCTTTCTTTTGCCACTGTGAAATAGCTCTTTGAATCGTACTGTCCGGCTGCTTCCCTGGAAAAGGGGAGTTTCCTGGGCTTCTGGCAGGGCTGAGCTCTTCCTTTCCCCGCTGGGAGCCTTGCCTGTCTGCAGTGGGGCTGGGAGCCTGTTTTGGGGGGAATCCCTGCCTTCACTGAGAGGGTGTGGGATGCTCATCTGCATCCTGGCCTGGGCTGCCATGGAGTTGGGGTGTGCTCCTCCTCCTCCTCCTCTTGGCTGTGGTGCTGGGGCACATCCATGTGCTGTGATCTTTTGGGGGGCCCTGGGGCTCCCTGTGCAACTGGAAGCCTCTGTAGGAGGCTGCAAACTGGAGCAGGAGCCCTCCCAGCCCAGGGCTCCCCCCAGGGCGGGCTCTCAGGGCACGGGGAGGTGGCAGGGGCAGAGCTGGTGCCTTGCTCCTGCCCCAGTTCCCCCCCAGCTCCAGCTGGGTCTGCCCTGCTTCCAGCCCCACCTCAGCTCGGTTGGGTTTTGTTCTGGGGTCTAACTCTTCTCTTTTCCTTTAAATATGTAAAACACTAATTCCTTTTTTAATTTTTAATTTCAAATGAACCAAAAAGACGGCGTCGTCCTTCTCTCCTCCTTGGCCCTGGTGGGGAGGGGGGCCAAGGAGGTGGGGAGGGGGAAGCGCCAAGCCGTTCCTTGTCTGATTCCTGTGCACACTCTTGTAACGCTTTTAAAACAAAATGATTTTTTTATATAAATAAAGTTTTTAAAGTGTGATGTGTGCCTGTCCTTTTGGTGTTTCTGGCTTTGCTGCTGGGCCTAGGTGCCTTTTCCAGGAGTGGTGCTGTTCTCCGTGGCTCCCAGAGGCATCACTTTGTGACAAACCATGTGGTATTTCCCAGCCCTCCCACCTTGCCTTGCACCCTTGTCCCCAAAGCCACCAGTAAGCAGAGAAAAAGCAGGACCAGGTATTTTATTGCTTCAGGTCCAAGGGGCAGTGCCAGCGATGTCGTGCAGGGATGGGAACAAGGAATGATGCCTGGCAGCAGCAAGGCTGGGGGCAGTTGGCTGAGCAGAACCAGCTCCAGGGATGTTGATGGGTGGCATACGAGGCGTGTTTGGGTCAGCAGGGACAATGCTAGGCATGATGATGGTGGGGACAATACTGTGGACATCCAGGCATGGAGGCTGTGTGCTGGGCAGCTGGGGCTCAGACAAAGAGCTTGTCGTGGCAGGGCTGGCAGTACATCTTGTCGCCGCACTCGCGGAAGGTGCCCTTGTGCAGCCGGCCCAGGCAGTAGGCGCAGACAAAGTGCTCGGGGTGGTACCTGCGCCCCGCGGCCGTGATGCAGCGCCCGGTGACGGGGCGGCCGCAGCCGTGGCAGATGGTGCCCTGCCGCTGGTGGAAGTGCAGCTCGCAGTAGGGCCGTCCCTCCAGCTCGAAGAAGGACCCACCGGTGAAGCCAGTCAGGCACTCCTGGGGGAAGGAGAGGGGAAGGCTGGCGTGGCCCTGGGAGCCACCCCCATTGTGTGCTTCCCCGCCCTCCCACTCACCGTGCACACGAAGCACTCGGTGTGCCAGACACCCTGCAGGGCCGACAGGTAGTTGTCCGTGACGGGGCGCTCACAGCCCTGGCATTTGGGGGCAAACATGGCCAGGAAGTCCTGGTGGCAGTACGGCTTCCCGTTGCGCTCCAGGAATCCTGTGGGGACAGGATTGGGATGGGCACCCATCTGGGGATGGCTCACCCTGGGGACAGTGGGACATGGAGGTAACCAGGATAGAAGGCAAAGAGAGACCATGGGGAGCTGTCAGATGGAGTGATAAGTGCAAGAGCAGGGAATACCTGGGATGGGGGCAGAACCCCCACACCTGTTCCTTGGGACGTACCCTCATCTCCAAACACCTTCCCACAGTGGGCACAGAAGAAGTGCTCGGGGTGCCAGGTCTGCTCCAGGGCCGTGAGGACTTTCTGCAGAAAAAGCCGAGATGAGGGGGCTGGTGGTGGCAGCCAGGGGGAGGCCAGGGGATCGCTCACTCACTCGCTCACTCGCTCACTCACCTCGCGGATGGGGCCGGCACAGTAGGCACAGCGCGGGGAGAAGGCCTGGTGATAATCCTCCTCACAGAACGCCTGCCCGCCCTGCTCAAAGAAGGGCCCCTTGTCCAGCTCTTGCCCGCAGCGGGCACAGGTGAAGTGCTCGGGATGCCAGGTTTTGCCCAGGGCTGTGAGCACCTACGAGAAGGAGGCACAGGGGCTGTGAGGGCAGGTCCAGGGGGATGCCCAGGGGTGCCAGGGTGGGGCAGGGACTCACCTTGCCAGCGATGGGCTTGCGGCAGGTGGCGCAGATGCCGGCAGGTGCGGCCGTGATTCCCAGCTCCTGCAGGTCCCGGGTGAGGCTGTCCAGCATGTTGTCCAGCAAGGACTCCATGGGCACCCTGGCTCCCTGCCCTGCAGCTGCCAGCTGCTGGGAAGGAGGATGGTGAGGTCTGGGTGAGGGCCAAGCCCCCCAGCCTGCTGTTCCAGGGCCAAGGCTCACCTTGCTCTGTGTGTGGCCCAGGTCGGCCAGGAGCTCGTCCAGTTGCCAGGCGGCCTCCGTGGGTGGGGGTGAGGGAAGCAGCGGCTTTGGGACTGGTACAGGGGTGCTGGACATGGCAGAGAGGGGAGATGCTGTGGTGTCCACCCCAAGGCTGGGACCGAGACCCCTCCACCCCTGCCAACAGAGTCCTTTCCCACAGGCCACCACAGGGAACACTGCAGGTGTGCAGGATACAGTTGGTCCCAGGTGACCCTGGGTGGCAGATCCCAGCAAGGAATGGGCAGCCCCCGATGGCTTTGCCCTCCCATGGCCATTTTTACCTGTACACTGAATCCAAACCTTCTCCTGGAGGCTGAGCTCGAGGTGGCAGCGGCACCTGGAAGGACAAGCCTTTGTGGCAGAGCCCTCAGGGAGTTCCCCTGGCAGCTTCCCCTGTCCGGCACCACCATCATGAGCTGAGAGGTCTCTGTGCCCAGGCATTACCTTCAGGGTACCGTGCTGGGCATCCTGGCAGGAGCTTGGTCCCTGCAGAGCACGCTCCTTGGAGGCCAGGCAGGAGCTCTGCTCCAGTTCTTCCAGCAAAGCATCTGCATAGATACACCCGGGTCAGGCCCCACAGCCAGTAGCTGCCCACCCTGTGGTCTTGTACCACTCCCAAAATCTCAGGAGCAAAAGCAGTGTCACAGCAGATCCTGCTGGCCAGCTGCCAGTGCCCCTGAGGGGTCCTGAGCACCCTCCCCAAGGTGCCCATCCCAGTGCAGGATGTGCTCACCTTCCCAAAGAGTGGGGCAAAGGGTCCTTCCCCCGCACACCACGTCAGCAAAGAAACCTCTGCCAGTCCCCAACCTGACCCAGCAGAAGCCCTGGCAGGGAAAAGCTCACCCTGGGCCCATCCTGTGTGTCTAGATCACCACTTCCCCCAAGCTGGGCCGAGCACTTTTCCTTTTCATTTTTGCCTCTCTGCCTCGGCTGTCCCTCACATTGGGAAACAGGGAATGCCCACAGCAGTGTGGCTGCTCCCCCACCCCAGGCCAGGGATAGCTCCCAGCTCCTGCTGGGTGCAGCCAGGGTTGTGGTGCTGCCACAGCCCATTTCCTGCTCTTAAGCTGGCTCCATTTTTGGCCAAGTGTTCGCTCTACCACTGGCCCCATCGGTCCCTTGGGATGGGGGAGGCACAGGAGGGAGCAGGGCTCCATGGCTGCCCCTCTGCGGCATCCCCTCCAGGTCCTGAGGTACAGGAAGGAAAAGGCTCCCCAGAGGTGCCAAAAATGTGACCCCAAGCCTGGCCTGGCTGCAAGATCAGGTCTGGAGAGTCACAACTTACCCAAATCCTCCATCCTGCCTTGGTGTGGGGTCCCAGGGCCGGGGCAGCACCCCGAGGTGCTGAGATGGCAGTCGAGGCTGCACCAGCTCTGTTCCGGTCTCGCCTCCGCCCCCCGCACCGGGGTTTGTCACCCGGGGTTTCCTTTGTGGGCTGTGTGCCTCACACCACATGTGACAGGCACAACTGGGACGCAGGGAGCCACAAACAGCCCAGGCTAAGGCTGCAGAGGGGAGAAACTGGCCAATGGGCTGCCCAAGGAGCTCCAGAAGCCAAGATGTGGATGTCCTGCTGACCCAGGCCCTTTCTGAAAGCCACTGGCCACATGTGAGAAGGGATGGCGTCTCGGTGCTGGGTGGAAATGGATTTGTGGCAGCATGATGGAGCAGTTCTGTCACGTTCTAGCAGAACCTTGCCTTTGTGGGACACTTCTGGAGCCTCATCATCAATTTCCAGGTAACAGCAAATCCCTTTTTGGCAGAGAAATCTCCTGGCGCTGCTGGGAACAGACAGTGGATGTGGAAACAGCTCCAAGGGACTGAGGGAATGTTAATGGCAGAGGTGGGTGCACATGGCTTGGCATGTCCTTTAGGCTCTTGTTTGGGTGTTTGGAGGAGGCAGCACCTGGTAGGTGACCAACAACATCTCAGTCACCTTGGCCACCAGCCCTGCCAAAGCTTCACCATGTCCTGGCTTGGATCCTCTTTAGTCCAACAAGAAAAACCTCGTGAGCAAAGGTTATGAGCCACAGACTCTGTCCTCTGTGGGGAGGCACCAGTACCCACAGGGGTCAGGCTGGCACTGCCTTGGCCCTGCTCCTGGGCACTGCTGAGAGTGTCCCTGGGTGGGCTGGAGCTGAGCCCCTCGAGCTGCCACCTCAGGAGTCACTTCACTCCTGACACCAATTTGTTGCCTGCTCACAGCAGGGACATCCAGCCCAGCCCCACCTCAGGAAAAGGCCCCTGGGACACCAAGCCGCTGTGTCCGAGCAGTGTTTCAGGCCAGGAATGCTGAGAGCCACCCAAAGCTGAGAGGAGGCACTGCTGGTGTCACTCCTCAGGGCTTCTTGGAGATGGGATCCTTCTGTCAGGGGCTTCCCTTTCTGCACACAGCAGAACCTTCCTGCCTGCGGAAGGTTTCAGGCTATTTTTAGCTTTCTCAGTGATTTAGTGATGTGTGAGCTCGAGTGCACACAAGCATCTGGAGATGAACTTCTTAAAACTTGTCCTTACAGAATCCAGAGGCCAAAGGCTGAGCTGTGCCCTGCCCTGAGCTCCACTTCCCTGTTCTAACAAGAATGAAGTGACTCCAGCCCTGCCTGCAGAGGGGAAATCAGTCATAACAATGACAGGGACAGCTTGGCATGGGGCTGACAATAAGCAGGGACAGGAGAAATCCCTCTGCAAAGACCCTGAGGTTTTCTTTAGCTTTCATGCAAGGACATTCACCTCCTTCCTAGTGTCTGAGTCAGGGGAGTGTGGTTCTCCACAGTGAGGGGGTTTATTAGCACACTCTCAGGAACTGTTGGATGCTTTTGTTTTCTAGGAACATACCAAAGCTCAGGACTTGAAATGCGGAAGCAAAAGGAAGCTCGGAGCCCTCTCTCTGATGGGAACCAGTTCAGCAAACAGGATTTTCCAGCTGAACTCTGTGGGCTCTTTGAACCCCTGTGATTCTTGCTGTCTCCTGAGGGAGGATGAGGAGCACCTTGTTCTGGGGAAGTGTTACCCTTTGTTCTCCTGTCCTAAAACTGTGGGTAAGATCAGCCAAACCCTCCGCTCCAGAGCAATCACGTCCCAGTCCTCTTCCCCAATCCAAGCCCTCGATCCCGGCCTGGTGTCACATCCCGCTGCAGCCAAGGCAAAGGAATACTGTGCCAGGATCAGTCCAGGTCCAAGTGGCGACCGTGACAAAACCCGCTCCCGGGTGGTGCCCTCAGCGTCTGTGGGGGCGAAGCTTTGGGGTTTTGTGTGGGTTTAATGTGTTAATGCAGTTCCTGTGGGAGAACCATGCGCTGGTGGGGTTGTTTTGGGGAGGGGCTCGGGCCTTGGAGATCACGGGGGCGGGTCCCCCCGCACAGCCGCTCCCGGGGCTCCTACCCAGGGCCCGTTCGGGGCGGGGACACAGCCGGGAACGGGGAACCGGCGCAGCCTCATCTCCGGTGGAACTACAACTCCCGACTGGCACCGCGCATGCGCGGCCGCGGGACGGAAGCGGGCGGGGCTGGGGCTGTGTGCTCCGCCCCCCTTGCGCCGGCCACCATTTTGTCACCGACTTTCACCCGCCGCCCGACGGGGCGTTTTTTTTTTCTTAAAGGAGAAGCGGTAGCCAAAAGCGGCCCGGCCGCCAGGCCCCGCCGGTACCACGGGCGGCGCCGCAGCCCCACGGCACGGAGCGGCCGCGTGGGGCGGGGCGGCGAGCGGCTTCTCCTGCGAGGCCTCTCCCGAGGGGCAAAGGGGCCCGGGGGCAGGCGGAGGGGCGCAGGCAGCGGCGGCGGTAGGGAGCCCGGCGGTGCCGGAGGCCGAGCGGCGGCCGCGCGGCGGACGGGCGGTCCGGGCGGCGGGGCCTGCGGGGCGGCGCCCGCGGGGGCCGCGCTCGAGTGGGCGCCGAGCGGGGCCGGCCGGGGGGGGAGCGGGAGCGCGAGCGCAGCGGCCGCGGCAGCGCCTGCGCGAGAGGCGGCGCGAGTCCGGGGCGCGCGCAGGAGCAGCGCGCTGATTGGCCGCTCGGCGGTGGGGAGGCGGGCCCCGCTTCGGCCGGGCCGCCCATTGGCCAGGCGGCGCGCGAGCGGCGGGGCAAGGCGAGAGCACGGCGGGCGGGGGGACTCGGGCCTAGGAGGCAGGGTCGTCCCCCGCGTCCCGCCTGCTGATTGGTGGTCGCGGGTAGGGGGCGGGGCGCAGGGGCCGCGCGTGAAGGCGGGCGACGGGTGCTGATTGGCCGCGGGCGGCGGGGGCGGGCGTGCCCGGCC